CTCTACCAAGTTCTGATTGAATGAATCAGCAATGGAATCTGATTGGCCGTTTCCACGGCAGCCCTCTTTGATTGGATATCCAAGCAATGCCAGTAGCATTCTGATTGGCTGTTTCCATGGCAATCCGCTTTGTCAAGTGTTTTAGCATGTTATTTGGCCATGACTGGACATCTATCAATTTCGTCAATTTGTTTTGCAACCAATGCACCAATAAGCTGTTGTTTATGTAGTACTTGGTTCCCTTAATTGTCTACCTTGTCGACAATTTCAAATGTCGTCAATTGGAGTAGTGTACTTCTCGGGGTCTTGCTGGCACTGAAGTTTACACATAAACCACTAGATGGAGCTAGAAAGACCCTGAAGAAAGTCTTAACACATGTCCTCGCTCTGTACAACGACCTGACCAAGGATTTTGGACCCCTTGTGACAGTCATTGGTACTGCAGCAAACTTCTGGCTTTGATATCTGTACATGCTGTGGGCGTGATTTTTAAGGTGGCGACGTTGGGAGTTAAGAACTCTAGAAAGCGTCGATGGATTGTCGTGATTTGGTAATTGACATAATCAACTGCCAATTATGCAGTTCAGGAGCTAATTTGCATATTCCATGAGAATTTCCACATTGGTTATCAAGTCCTGAATAAAGAGACACTTTAAATGGTGTATTTCAACATACGTTTCGGTGACCGTGTGTCTCTTTATTCAGTGACTTATACTACTAGTAACCTGATGATCTAATTACATGTACGTACAGTGCTGACTCATAAATTCCGCAAAAAGGCCGGTATGTTCCGGCTTGTCGTATACGTCGCTAGCCTGAAATTCACAATACCAGCTTTATTTTCCTGTGATTTAGAAGCATTTTTATTTTTTGCCGGAATTTTTTTTTATTCGCCCGCGCGCACTAGTTTGTCGTTCTTCAAAGGATGTCATCCATAAAATTAAGTCGGTGTGGCCTAAACTCGGGCCCGGGGGCCCTCACCTCACCGTTTCTAAGGACGCGCCGCAAAACAATAAACAAACCAGCGACAGAAGTTCAACATGGATCTCTTTTATTTACCCAGTGGTGAGTCCCTTTGGCACACCAGTCCTTCCGTTCTGAGACCAGGAAGAGACATAGCTCATTCCCTGTGTCCAATCAGTTTCTTCTGTTTATAAGTGCGGTTGGCATGGAGACCACACGGCTAGGCCAGTCTTCTTATTACTGATCACTAAAGCATCAATGTTTGTACTATCTCTGTAGCCAATTGTAACTACTACTGTTTCAAATACAATTTGCTCCAATATCTTCTTGTAGCTTTGCACCTTAGTACACGTGTACTAGATCTATCCATATCAATCAGTAGTTCATACTTATAAACCTGCTTTACTGACAACTCTCTAGTGTCACTTACGGAAGGTAGTGAATGCTACCGGAAACGCCCGACCGTTTCCAAAAGCATATCCAGATGCTTGAGTGACTGTTTATTTTTGGCGTATCTAATTACCTTAATGTCTAACATTCACTGACATATGCTAGATCTATATTTTTTCTCTTTGTCTGTAAGCTATGTATAAGTTAGAGTACACGACGTAACTGTTACAGCTAATGTTGGTTTCCAGATTCAACAGCATTGGAATCAGTAATATTTCTTTAGTTTTGTAACATTGTAGGTATTGTTGACTAGTTCTGTCAGTTTATTTCAGCTGAAGAAGAGTGACTTATGTCACTCGTAACGTCCAGAAGTAGATAATTCCCGTTTCTAGGAGTAGTCTGAGTTTGAATTGTATTTGAATATTGTCGTTATGTAGTTGATATACCTGTAAAAGTGAGGCTTTATAGGCGCTACCAACTGATCCGGCAAACGGGTCTAGACCTTTTAGTGGAGTTCGTCCTCGAATCTTCCGAATTCGACATCCCTGGAGCGGCACTCTTTGCCAGAACTCCCAGGGCCGATGTGGGAACCACTGTAAGAAACAGGAGGAGCCAGTAAAAACCCTCCTGGTTCGAACCCACGACCTCCCGGGCACCAGTCCGACGCTGTAACCACTCGGCCGAAAAGGTCTAGCCCCGTTTGCCGGATCAGTTGGTAGCGCCTATAAACCCCCCACTGTACATACACCACCCGCGTACATACAATTAATTCTTACTGCATGAGACTTGCTCGAGTAGTACATACAATACTTGATCAGCACTCAATATGGCTCAGGCACACTCAGTTTTTAAACACCATCTTCTCTTGTAATTATATGGATGACATCCTCGCGTGCATGAATTTCGGCCGTTTCCAAAAAAAACGTTTTTTCGCCATACTCTAAATTGTACAAAACAGTTGCAAAATGAGCAAATATATATCGTACGTTGCAAACAAAAAATATTGGAAAATGATGACGATATACTAGAATGCCAAAATCATTTTTATTTTTGACCGGATTTTTCTCTTTTTTTTCGCCCGCGCGCACTAGTTTGGGGGTCTTCAGAGGATGTCATCCATAAAATTGGCCTTATTTATGCATAATGCCTTGCATTAATATATTATCAAGAGAACAATTTTAAGTAGCATTTTCGTAGCCTTAATTCTAAACAACACATTACTGTCGTCACCACACCTTACCATGCACAACCAATAAATATATCCAGAAACAATCATCATTAATTCTGTAGTAATTATATTCTGTATAAATAATTGATCGTGTACCCATAACAAAATGCCGACTTTTTAACACATACATATTCATTTTAGTTACCGTGTCTCCAATATTGAAATTAAAGATGATAATCCCAAAAAAAATTCAAACTTTACGTCTTTAAACATGCCTCTTTTATCAGTGGTCATATTTTTTTTTTACATATAACAGCGACCAGTTTAATTTCGGACTAATTCCATACCTCAGCAACCTTAAATCTAGATGGGCCAATATATAATAATTGTAAAGTTTAAGACCACACTAATTTAATTTCTTGGTTAACGGATTCGCGCGCTTCATTTTTTTCTGCTTTGCGAAAAAAAAGAGTCAGAATCAACTGCAAAATGCTCATATTTTGCCTTGCACAGTTGAAAACAGTGCTTTTCTTCCTAGTCATTACAATTATTCCATCTTTCAATGCAATGGTATCATTAAAAGTTCAAAATTCATTGTTTAAATTTTGAACCAGTCTGGTGTGTTGACTTAATGGCTTCTATTGTACCATTTTGGGTCATAATAGGATGCCTAGGCCTGTTTTTATTTTTGTTTTTTTCGCCCGCCCGCTCGATTATTTTTCTGGAAAAAATCCGTTAACCAAGAAATTAAATTGGTGTGGCCTAAGTGAAAATAATGTAAGAAACATGTATACGCAACAGTCATCGAGGACTGCTTGAGGATTAACCCAATTCTGCAGAATTCCAGTTCCAAGAATTCTGCAGAATTGGGTTAATCCCCAAGGGGTCCTCGATGACTGTTGCGTAAACATATTTTTTATGGGTTCATATTGCTTTTTCTGGTGTTTCTTCTTCTTCTCCTCCTCCTTCTCCTCCTGCCATTTTTTAAATGGATTCAGCTTCTTCATTTTAGGGCCCAAGGTCCTGAAATTTGGTATGGAGGTACAGTGGGCAAATACCCCTAGGCGTTTTTTAAATTATTGTGATACAGGCTTTTAGAATGGTTTTATTTGAGTTTTTTGGCTGTATTATAGCAAATGTATTACTGTGTTAGTGTGCCGTGTTTACCACGTCTGGGCATGAGTCATCACAATGGAATGCAGGGCATCAACCAATAGGCATGCAGCTTTCCTCTATACTTCTTGCTGATTGGCTGTTGGGATTTAACTTGATTAACACAAGCACAGAGCATTTCCACCTGCACAGAGCATTTCTTGCTGATTGGCTGTTGGGATTTAACTTGATTAACACCTGCACAGAGATTTCCATACTGACAGTATGTCTTTATTCAAGTGTTTTGGTAGGTATTTCAAGCTTTTCTGCTCCAGCATTGGAATGCGGGGCATGAACGTTTTTTTATTTATTTTGAAAATCAACAGTTTGCATTATGCAATTAAAAATCCTAACCAATAAAGTAGGGAATAGCTATCCAACTGTTGTTTTAGTTGTATGTTACTTCATATTATAGTTATATCAATGTAATCATTGGTTTCCCTTGTGTTTCTCATTCTTTCCCTGCCATGACGTCGTAAAATGTGGTGAACCCATCGCTGTATTTGCTCCAAAGCAAATATTGGCCTTTCTAGTTTTACATTATTTTTACTTATAGTTTACGATATTAGCCCATCTAGATGTAAGGTTTCTAAGATATGGAATTGGTCGGAATTAAACTAGAGGTTGTTATATTATCCATCCGTCCCTAGCGCCGATATCTGCACACATTTACTCTTATGTTTTACTTTTCACAGCGAGTTTCCGTCTCGTAAACAGTCGTTGCCTATTAAATTAGTCAATGGCATATCGGTGAATGACATATATCAACTAGTATCGTTGTGGGGGAAACATTTCAAACGCATAGAATGTCCTCTTTAGTTAACTATGCAAATTAGATCCTGATTTGCATAAATGTCATCTAATTATGTTAAGTATCATCTAAGCAAGCCCCAATCGTTGTTTCCTACAAAAACAATTTGACCTCAAACTGTAAGGTACCCGTTAGGAGGCCCGCCAAGACATGGCAACGACCGTTTATAGGCCATGTTGACTTGATTATATGGGTGACATCCGCGCGCGCATGAATTTTCGGCCGTTTAAAAAAAGTTTTATACGATACTGTAAATCGTACAAAACAGTTGAAAAATGAGTAAATATATACCGTAAGTTGAATAAAAAAAAACATTGGGAAACGATACCAATGTCGTAGAATGCCAAAATCAAATGATAAAGACGAAAGGGTAAAGAAATTAATTTGAAGACGGATTATTCGCAATACCACTCTGTGTCATTTGTTCCACGCAGATTTTATAACTGAAAGCAACTTTTTTTTTTGCCAAACTTTTTTTTATTCGCACGCTCGCATCGTTTTTGGGGTTCCCACAGGCTGTCATCCACATAACCAAATCAACATGGCCTTGCGAGACGAAAAGTAGCAACTGCGATGCTGTTCACTTCCCGAGTCCCCTGATGAGGCTGAGGAAGCGGGAGTCGTGCGAGGAGAAGAGGGCCGGGTTCCCGCCCAGGATGTCTCTCAGGATCCGGTGGACGATGAAGCGCACCGTGCGGCCGCACTGCATGGCGGTCTGAACCAGCTGCTGCACGGTCCTATCACACAAAAAAAACAAGTCATGTGTCTGTCAGAATTCATGATTTTCACACTTCCCATAATGCCTAGCGCTAGCGCTAGTGACGGCGCCATGACAGTTGTCAGTGCATCATGGGTAAGTCACTTTCGAAGCAACCACAACCTAACGCTACAATTCACCAAATTCACACTTCCCATATTGCCTAGTAAAGGTCACGGATATGACGTAAGACCACCCCTCCCCCTTCCTCGATGTAATACTAGTATTTCCAGCAAATTCTATCGACAAACTGGTCAACTACATTGTTTTGAATTATTTGTCTAGCATAAATCGCATGCCATAATTGCATTTTTGTTGTAATTAGAGAAAATGACGTACTAGTATCTTCTATCTTTCTACCTTCTACCGAAGACTCTCCTACTCGCACGGTCGCATTACGCATATCCCCTTCTTACGTCATATCCCACCCATATCCGTGATCTTTACTAGGCATTATGGGAAGTGTGAAAATGGTGAATTCATGATTTTCACACTTCCCATAATACCTAGTGCTGGTGATGGCGCCATGACAGTTCTCAGTGCATCATGGGTAAGTCACTTTCGAAGCAACCGCAACCTAACGCTACAATTCAACTGGATATTCCTAATTTGGGAGACTTTGACCTACATAGGCTAGTAAACAACTTTCCTACACATGTGACCAAGACTTACTCTCCAAGCAGAGGTTGTGGGGGAATGATCATTAGCTTTTTATATATGGCGCCGGCGACATTCTCTGGCTAATGGATACTGTCTGGCCAAGTTGATACTGTCTTTTTGCCACCGAAAAGGATCTGCTTGAAGATTAACCAAGACTAATAACTTTGCCAAACGAAAGAAGAAGAAGAACTGGATATCTACTGAAATGCCATCATGTCACATCTGTTTGGAGTCTATCCGCTTCTTACGTCATATCCGTGACCAGCACTAGGCATTATGGGAAGTGTGAAAATCATTCATAAGTCACAGTCAAACAGAATCTAAACAAAATTAACATTTTTTTTAATCCTTGGTTTTTGCTTTAACGTCCATGAAGTTTACATCGAAAAATATCCATATTTGATTATTTGCCACCCCCTCCCCCTTTGCATTAAAAGTACAAAAGGACATGGTCCATATGGGGTCAAAGTTCAAGGTCATATAGCAAGGTCAAAGCTACCAATCTGCAAAGGCAAAATATATTCCACAGACACCCTATAGCTACTTTTCTGAATGTGTGACAGTGGTATAATAAGTGTGCTCTGTATAACGACGTATAATAAACATTTTACGAAAGAAAGCTCGAGATGCAATGTATGCATGCTAATGAGAATAATCAACAACACATGGAAGAAACGCTTAATTTATATTTGCAGATAACACTTTAACAGACTTTCGTTCCTACGCAATCATAGAACACTTCAGATAAGAACCTTTCTGATTCTTTATTGACACAACAAAAAGTACAGGGACTTTTGTATGGTCTTCTATAACTAAAGATCAAATAATACATACTTTTGATTCATAAGGTCAGTAGACGCCAGCGATGCCTCTAGCGGCTCGGCGTTGTACCGCACCATCTGACAGATGCCGTAGTTGGAGAAACACTCCTCCTCGATGGTGAGCACCAGGCTGCCGAGCCGATCACAGTCCTCCAGGTCCGGCCCCACGATCTGCTGCAGCGTCCCGGCAATACAGCTGAACGACCCGGCAATCCACTCCTGGCCCTAGAAACCAAATATTGTTTTAAATATACGAGATAGTTTCAATATTATTTATTATGTTTACCGAAGGAAAAACTTTGCTCAGTTTCGTCTTCTTCTTGTTCAAACAGTGACCTCTGACGTGGCCAATGACCTGATTTATTGACGTCTGTCACCATGGTAACTGGCTCCGCGGCCTCGGTCGTTCATTCGGTGGTTATAGGAACCGACCATGAAGTATGACACCGTATTCACCTCAGGGCGGGTCATTAACACTATATTACAAACTTTTAATAGCTACAATTATATACAATAACAAACAGCCTAAATGGCAGTTTAACAATAACAATCTTAACAACAATTAGTTTCAGATTGCTTTTATCTGAAATTACAGAAAAATGGGTGATTGTAAATTGTAAATTGGCTGACATCGTAATTACCCTTTCAACGGTCATTATGTGCCTAAAAAAATCTTCACATTGAATTGTGGATCCATTCGTTTCAGATTGCTTTTACCTAAAATTACGAAAAAATGGATGATTGTTAATTTTTTCACGCGTCAGTTTGGCTGCCATCATAATTACCCTTTTAACGGTCATTATGTAACAATTTTGTTCCGAAAAAATCCTCACATTAAATTGTGGATCCATTCGTTTTAGATTCAATTTATCTAAAATGTTCAGAAAATGGATGATTGTTAATAACTTTTTATGGCGTCAGTTTGATTGCAATCGTATTTACCCTTTAAACGGCCATTATGTCACAATTTTGTGCCGAAAAAATCCTCTTGTGATTGTAATTACCTTCAGTTTTCAACTTATTTGTGAAATTATCTCACATTTCTGACTTTTATGGTTGGCGCCAAAACAGCCCACGCGAGGCACACTCAGTTAAATTGTGGTACCACCACAAACCACCAGAATGTAAACAAACATGGCTGACAGCTGTGTTTCTAGATTTTAAACACATTCGAAAGGCACCATATTCTGGCATCTCACCTTCTTGAATGACACTAATTTGCAATGGAGAAGGGAGTTGTTTAAAGCTTTCTAGTGATGATGCTCCAACTGTGCTTGGTGGCAACGAATTCCAGTCTACGATATTTCTGGGGAAATACGAGTTTTTGAATACCTCAATTCTTGGTACCGGTTGATAACTCTGATATTTGAAGGCGTGACTGTAACATGTAAGCAGAAGTTACTTTACACTTATTATTGCCCACGCCTTCTAAAACTGTCACCCTTCAAGATGTTGAACCACCTTCAACCTCTACCTCTTACAGCAGTAAGACTCGGTCACAACCCGCCGTACGTGCTTTTTGTCCGTACGTTTTTTGGAGGCTACGTCTGCTACGTTTTTTCTGAAAACGTGGGGAAGGAGTGGCGTCTACGCACGTCACTCGCACGTCACTCGCACGGTTGCGCAAGGTGTAAGAATATGGTCCGCACGGCACGTCTGGCCGTGAGCGGTTGCGTGCATCGTTCGTTGTGCAAGTGTTAAGTGAGTTGTACGTGCTTACAACGTACGATCTCTGTGCGATTGCAACATTACTCACACGTGCTGCTTACGTACGGCACTACAGGGCACGCGCGTCGCTCGTACCCGCACGTACGGGTGGTAAATCCGCAGACCGCATGTGGAAAAAGTTTTACATGCACTTAAAGTTCTACGGCGTGCCTGCGTGCTCCCAAATCCGTAAGATTCCGTACGGAGGCAGTACTCACCACGCACGGATGCCCTACGTTTGCCTCACGTTTTTGCACGTAGACAGCACGCAGAAGCACGTACGGCGGGTTGTGACCGAGGCTTAAGCCACAAAAAAGGCGACATGGGTAGGTAATACTTCATCTTGGAACACTACAAGTACAGATACTTGTGACGACATTTAGGAATGACAACACTGCACATCTCTAAAGCGCTAACAACTTGTGTAAAAGAACAAAGATCAGTATAGATGCCTGCAAGGTCGATACAAAGTCATCCCCTTCTTGTATGAGCACACATGACAGTCATAAAATACATCTTCCGACAATTAGACATATAGCAACGGGCCTGAAATGTCTATAATAAGAGGAAATGGCACTGGGTGAATGGTTTCATGCACTCGGTTTTCTGGTTGACTAGCGTCACAGGTCGTACCTGGAGACTTCGCTAATGCCTAATGGAGACTTCACGCACCGGTAGATGACATTAAGGGACAGGGACCATTAACCAGAGGCGTCACTGACACCTATCGTTTGATCATCAGTCAGAAATCGGACATGTATGTGTCCCTCTATCACACGCGCAAAAACTTTGCTTTATCCCAACCTTCACAGTTACCGATGCAATGGCCAAGTGGGTAGAGTGCTCGCCTTGCATTCGGTAGGTCGTGAGTTCGATCCCCGGTTGAGTGCACGTGATACCAAATAAGACTTGTTAAAATGGTACATGCTGCTTTCTCTGCTTAGCACTCAGCATTTGGGAAAGAGTATGGGAGTTAAAAACACACCAGTACCAGCGGACTAGCCCCCTGTAGTGATTGCACAATTGTGTGGCCCAAGGGCTACTGAAACTAGTAGGTTGTGACCGAGGCTTTAGAAATCCGCACGTTGTGACCATGTCGTCCTGCTTACAGTTACATACAAAATAGAGCTGGAAGCTAAAATAAGTCACTGTAACACATTTAGTACCTTCCCCCGACCACCAACCAAACAAGGCTAAAGTTCGGGAACAGTCTGACCAGATTTAGGCCACGCCTACCTTTCGATACGAATTGAATCAAAATTGATATTTGAGTTTAATAATTTGACCACTGCTGGCCTACTCCCGAACACCGGCCAACCAGTCACGAACCAATGGCCGAACCTCCCGTTCACACCCGAATGTTTCAAACATTTTAAAACACTCGGCTTTGCATGCGCATTACTTCCGACATACCCTAAGGCCATATGTTGATTTGATTATATGAATGACATCCTCGCGCGCATGATTTTTTTTTGCCATTTAAAAAAAAAAAAGGTTTCAACCATACTGTAAATGGAGTACGGGCGACGCGCGTGCCCCGTACGTACCGGGCGGAAGACGCACGCGTGAGTACGGCCTTCTTACGATGAAGTTGCAATCGCACAGAGATCGTACGTTGTAAGCACGTACAACTCACTTACACCTTGCGAGTAACGTGCGTCGACGCCACTCCTTCCCTACGTTTTTAGAAAAAAAACGTAGCAGACGTAGCCTCCCAAAAACGTACGGACAACACGCACGGACGGCGGGTTGTGACCAGGGCTTAACGTTAAGGCAGCTCTGGTTGGTGATAAACGTTGGAACAAATTGAAGGTTACAGACGACAGTTAGAGACACGCGGTGAGGGTGGGGCACGTGACAGCACGCGTGTTACAAAGGGCAGATACGGATGGTTTCCCGCCATAAGTGCTAGCAGACGGGTCATAAAAAGTAGCCTGGGTACCATCCGGATTTTCGCTCCAGATTTTCGCTCCGGATTTTTGCTCCGCCTGGGTACCATCCGGATTTTCGCTCCGCCTGGGTACCATCCGGATTTTCGCTCCGCCTGAGTACCATCCGGATTTTCGCTCCGCAACGCTCGAAAATCCGGATGTCAGTGACATCTCATTTTGCCTCGCGGATATGTTGATTCAACTTGCTACATAATGGCCAGACAATTGATGTTTAAGGTTCAAGTTTACATGGTCTGAAATATCTGTGTCTTTTAACCAAAATGATAGTCGAAGGAATCTTTACAGTGCCTTCAGATGGAGCACTGAACTCTTCCTTTAATTTAACACTCGTGAAAATCAGACACCTTTTAACTCTGTTCTCTTGACCTTTATCTGGGACCTTCCACATGTCTTGCCTTGACAAAAGAAACACATTGGTTCAGGGCAGCGGCGCCTCTATTTTTGGCTGACAGACCTGTGCCTTTGGTATTGATGTTGGCAACAGTTATAGTTTAAAAGGAGGTCAGTTTACGCAACAACTCATTTTCAGGGGAGGTCTTTGACACCATTTCTTAGTTAGGCCATGTTGATTTGATTATATGGATGGCATCCCTGGGAACCCCACAAACTGTTGCGAGCGTGCGAATAAAAAAAAGTTTGGCAAAAAAGTTGCTTTCATTATGAAATCTACGTGGTCATGAAGGTTGAAAAATGACACAGAGTATAGTATGGTGGATAATCTACTCTTCAAATTTATTTTTCGTTTGCTTTGAAGACCCCCAAACTAGTACGCGCGGGCGAATAAAAAAAATCCGGCCAAAAATTAAAATGCTACTAAACCACATGAATACAAGGCTGGTATTGTGAATTTACGGCAGTACATACATATAGCGACGTATACGACAAGCCGGAAAATGCTGGCTTTTTGTGTAATGTATGAATTCGACACTGTACGTATGTACTGAGTTCTTGAGTCGTGGAGCTTTGGTAGCCTGGATGCCGTCCTCCAGAGTTTCCACCGGCTCCCTATTGTCTCTAAGTACCCATGTACTTCCCTAGAGCCAGGCCAGAGCTTCGGAGGACGTGATCTTTTTTTTTTTTTTGAGAACGTGGGAAAATCAATGCGCGCGCGGATGTCATCCATGAAATTAAGGTGGTGTGGCCTGACTTAGTAGAAAGACGAAACCATAATTAGTAGGTGACAAACCTGGCACTCCCCTGACATCTGGCACTGTTTATCACCTTCTAAAAGTAAATCTTGGCCAGAATCTTCTGAGACAAAATACGAGCAGTTGTAACAGCGGCAGATGCCTTGAAGTGGATTCAGTGGAAGTCAATGACCTTTTCTTGTTGCAATTATGATACAAAAAGTCAGATGAATGCATGAAGCAGGCTCAAATATGTAATCTGAATATTTGACAGGTTTTGAAAAGTAAACATTCTATTTTTTACCATTTTTTAACAAAAAATCGAATTTCGAAAGCTCATAACTTCTTGTAGAATTGACATATTGAAAAAAAATAACATTTTTGTAATCCTTGGTTCTTGTTTTATCAGTCCATGAAGTTACATTGAAAAATATCCATATTTGGTTATTTACCACTCCCCTTTTCATTGTAAGTGCAAAAGGACGCGGTTCATATGAGGTCAAAGTTCAAGGTCAAATAGCAAGGTCAAAGCTACCAATGTGCAACGGCTATCATATCAGAATATATTCCACAGATACCCTACTTTTCAAAACCATGATGAGAATTTGCCGCCTCAGGTGGTACCGATATGTGAAATTTGGGGGTCTGGCCCACGGACTAAATAGACAGTTGTAGATACGACTAGAAAAGTAACATTTTCAAAACAAATGCATAATGTTTACCTTCGCACATGGTCAGCTCTATTAATTCTTACTCAAATACATTCGCATATATGGTGACAGGAGTCTAAATCCCTCCAACTTTAAAATTGCAACATTATGTAACCCAAGACAAGTTACCATGGTGACAGACATCAACAATTCAGGTAATTGGCCACACAGAGGTCACTGTTTAGAGAAGAAGAGGAAGAAGAAGAGGAAGAAACTGAGCAAAAACAATGTTTTTATTTGATAACACAATAAATAAATATTTTTAGTAATTTTTAAATTTATTCAATATATTTCAAGGGAAGACGATTTGAAATTTTTCTTACAATTGCTAAGATTATGATCGTTGTAACATGCTCACCTATCCGACGACAAAGCTCAGATCGTGCCAGAAACTTTAATGACAGACGGTTTTGATCTTGTACGGTTTTTGTTGGGGGAGATACGACTGTAGGAGTGCTTAACGCATAGATCCATTTAACATTTAACAAAATAGACATAAAGAAATTTAGAGTAATCTTTAAGGTCACTTTAAATTGAACTTTTTTTTATTGTTCGAGTCAATGATATCCCTTGTGTATACGTAAGCGTTCGTGTAAGACTTGGATGACATCCCAGAATAATACGTAGTGTACCAAAATGACCGCAAAAAGTACGTGAGGGGTCGTCTTGGGCCTTTGGGGTTTCCACTAGGTACTTTTATGGTTGTGGTTTTGCAGTCACTTATGTACCGTTAACATTATTCGTAAACAAATAGTGCCGTGAACTTTTTTTCAGACCGCGAACTTTTTTTGCTAACGCGAATATAAAATGAATTAGAGTAGTACGAAGTACACACACGCGCGCGCGCGCGCAAACACACACGCACACACACACACACAAACACACACACACATATTTGCGCACGCGCGCTCTAACACACACACACATGAACACACTGCATTATATCACAGTGAATCCATCTAAACATATTCTTTAGTAAAAATACTAATACTAAATGTACGTAGATAGCATGTTCTCAAGGCAGCATTTCGTTACCATTTTAAGTATAACGTTTCTAATGATGTAATAATGATCTAAAGATTTAAGCACACCTATGGGCTGTCATGACATACCGGCAATCATGACATACTTTGCATCTCCACCAATTAAACCTGATTAAGATTAATAGTTAACATTTTCACACGTGAGTCGAAGTCTGCACGAAAGAATGGATTGAGCAGATTTTGTTGCTATTAAGTCTGCTCCAAAATCTGCTCAATCCATCTTGTGACAAAGAAACGTGTTTAATTCCTCCTGGGATGATTTTCGGTTTCTCCCACCCACGCCTGTAATCGTATTTTACTCCAGTCGATTATGCTTTCCTGTTGATCTCGTGAATGAAAATTACCTTTAAGAAGCTGGGTTTGTTGGCAGCGTTTATTACCTTCGCCAAGAAGGATGTACTTTCCAAAGCGTTTGTTTGTTTGTTAGTTGGTGTGTATGTGTTTGTGTGTGTGTGTACTGTGTGTGTGTGTACTATGTGTGTGTGTGTGTGTGTGTGTGTGCGCGCGCGCGCGCGTGTGTGTGTGTGTGCGTGTGTGTGCGTGTGTTTGCGTGTGTGTGTGCGCGCGCCCGCGCGTGTTTGTGTGCGTGCGTGTGTGTGCATGTGTGTGTGCGTGTGTGTGTGTGCGTGTGTACTGTGTATGTGTGTGTGTGTGTGTGTGTGTGTGTGTGTGTGTGTGCGTGTGTACTGTGTATATATGTGTGTGCGTGTGTGTGTGT